GTCTCCATCACTAATGAGGTATATCAGTAATGTAAATCAGATTTCCGTCATGGAGAGAACTAGAAGTTCCCCAAATTCCAAAAATGCAAAGATGTAAGTGATGGGCTTGACATTGATGGCAAGCAACACTCTGACACAGATTCTCAAACAGATGGTCTGTGAGCATTTAGAAATGCAAGAAGCTACCATCAGGAGCTAGCATGGCCTCAGTAGGAACAAATTTTGCCAGGTAATCCAATGTCCTTTCAAAATGGATTATTAATAGGTTATTAGACTAATGGATTTACAAAGCTGATGTAATACACACAAGGGAAGCTTTAAGGTGAAAAATAACTGAATTATTCAGCCATATTAGAGGATGCAAGTATTCTATTTATTATGATATAATTTACTATGAGTTTGCATAGTCAGTTATTCAGCAAATATTTATTGAGCATTTACTTTGTGCCTTGACTGTGCTAAGGACTTATAACCCCCTCTTTTAATACAGTTCTACCAATGAGGCAGTAGAGTATATGGCTCAAGCACACAGACTTGGAGCCAGGCAGCATCTATTCAAATCCTGACTCTGTCACTTAAATGGCTTTATGACCTTGAGAAAGTCATTTGATCTCTGCCTCATGCTGCCCACCTATAAAATGGGGATGGTAACATTGTATCTGCCTTAAAGGGGTTGTGAAGATTAAATGAGCTAACTGATGTAAACATCTTAAAAAAGTATCTGGCATGTAACAAGTGCTAATGAGTGTCATATAACAGCTCCTTGTTAGAGAGGTAAGACCATGTGCCTGAGACACCACATTTTCCAAGCTAGGATCTAAACTTGAGGTAGTCTGGTGTCAAAGACCATGCCCTGATCCACTTACAAAAATTACATTTTAAAAAATGTGTGACATTCTTAGGTGATTTCAAAGAACCCCCCCCACACACACACACTTCTTTATCCCTTTGTTCTCACAGTGTCTGTTATACCTAGTGTGTCTCTGAAGCAATTTCTGGGTTCCTGTGCTGAAACTTTCCCAGAAGCCAGGAAAGCTACTGAGGAAATTGAGGCTGCCAGTGTGAAGGCTAGGGCCCTCGCATTTTAAGAGGCATATTGTTATACCTCTGGAGGGTGACATGTGTTGACCTCACTTAATAAAAAATAAATATGGTAATGGAGGAAACTTAGTAAGAACAGTCACTAACGTTTATTGTTGCTAAATGTGGGCTGAGACCTACTCCAAACGCTTTTCACACAGCATTTAACTCTCATGACCACTTTGTGAGGGTATTCTTATTAGCCCCGTTTTTTTCCAGAGAGGTCTACACCTTGCCCAAGGTCATCCAGCTCGTAAGCTGCAGTTGGAAGTTCAAGCAGGCCATTGGCTCTGGAGCCTGGGCTCTTTATCCATTAAACTCCAGCTCATGAAACCACGTTCACGTGTGCTAAGTAGTTGCCAAAGAACCTCAAAGAAATCACCTTATTTGTCTCCAGCCAGCTTGCTCACAGCCTATTTGATCATCTTGAATCCCAAAGTCCACTTACTGACTCCTTCATCCCCACATTTTCAGGTCCCCTCAAATGCCTCCTCATCAGGGAGGCTCCTTTCTATTATGCCCCCTGCACAGTGTTCCCCTGTCCCACCTCTCCCCCTGGCCTGGTTCTACTTTTTTTTTGTATCGCTTATCACTGTGAGCCGTTATTCATTTGCTTGTCTGTAGATGACTGTACTGTCCGCCTGTCTCTATAACATAAGCTCCAGGGGACTCTGACTGTTGTGTTTATTGCATTGTCCTGGTGCTTCGAATAGAGCCTGGCACATAGTGGGATCACAGGAAATACTTATATAAATGATTAATTCTTACAGACTTTTACTTCTTACACAACCATTTTTTATCAATGGTATAAGAAATGAAAATTAAAGGAAAATGCCACTGTCAAACATAATATATAATCTCTATAATTTCAATCTTCCCTTGCAGTCCCTGTTTATAAGCAGATACTGATATTTCTTTTACAGATAAGTACTCATAACTGAGATTCTAATATGCATTCTGCCTTTCAAGATAACATTATTGACTCAGATTAAAAAGTCCATTGCTGAATGGATTTTTGTCAATGACTTTCAACAAACTACATTTTTAGGCTTGGTTTATTTATTTTCTAAAGTAAAAGCAAAGTTGGCTAAGGCTTTTCCATTTGGCTCCTTAGAGGCCCTTTTTTCCTCCTGCAACTTATATTACCAGAGGTAGGGATTGCAGTTCTAGTTAGTACATTAATGCTTAACTAGAGCAAGATTCCTGAGATACAAACCATGCTTTCCTTTCAGGCAGCCTTTTCAGGATCATTAAAGACGTCCAGCAACTTCAGAGATACAGACCTAGCATTTTATGTGCTACAAATTCCTTCACAAAGTGTTTCAACAGCATTTCGATGAACTCAGAAGTTGCAAAGAATGTCAAGTGGAGATTTCTTTGCACTATCAACAGGATGGAAACAGGCCAGGGAAGCATGAAGTCCAGAAGTAGTGCTTACCTCAGGAGAGTTGGTTCTAGAAACTGCTTTATCTGCCTACTGCTTCTTAGCAGCTTAAACAACACACATTCATCATCACAGTTTCTATGAGTCAGGGAGCTGGGCAGAGCCCAGGAGGGTCTGCTGACGGGCCTCTCTTAGGGACGCAATCAAGACATCAGCCAGGGCTGGGTCTCATCCAAAAGCTCAGCTTGGATGGGCCTGTCTGCAGACTCACCGACGTGATGGTTGGCTGTACTCAGTTCCATCTGCGCTGTGGATTGTGGGGCTCAACGCCTCCATGGCTGCTGGCTGGAAGATACCCTTAGTGCCTTGCCATGTGCAGCCCCCTAACATAGAAACTCGCCTCATCAAACCCAACAAGGGACAGAATCTTCTAGCAAGGTGGAAGTTACATTCTCTGTAATCTAATCACAGAAGCGTCATCCCCTCCACGTTTCGGTATCCATTGGTTAGAGGCAGGTCACTCAACCGGGGAGGATTACACAGGCCCTGAACACCAGGAGGTGGGCATCGTGGGGGGCCGTCTCAGAGGCTGCCCACCCCTGAAGTTCTATCTCAAAATAATACTGTATCGCTTGCTAAAGAGATGTGACTCCTACCACCTTGTGGCCTGGCTGTCCACTGTTACCTCACTACTGAGGCAGCATTGTTTGGGGCTCTCCCACTTCCGCTGAAGTGGCTGCTTCTGAACAACTTAAGCCTCCCTTCCTAGGCAACTTTAGAAAGAGGAAAACAAGAACTAAGGCAGAAGCTTTCCCTCTTAAATCTACCTTGAGTCAAGAGTTGATCAATGACATAGGTAAAACATCCCTGGGCCTTGGGGCTGAAGGAGAGCGGCTGAGGTTGTGCCAGTGACGTATTCTGTAAGCCTCTCCATCAAGAGCCAACCCTGCTTCCGCACGTCCAGCTCCTCCCACGGTTCGTTAATAGGAACTCAGTGCCAGCCACATTCCTGCCTGAGTACCAGCTTTGGGATGACAGCTGGACCTCCTCATGTCTCTGCATTAATGAGCCCTACTTCATGACTGCACTTCTAATTGGGTATCAAGCCTAAGCACAAGAAACTGAGTTTGGGAAATCTAATCACAGCGGCTTTCTTCTCTACATAGATGTCAACTGTAAAGTGACCAAGATCCTCGCAGAGACAGGAAGAGAATTGGTTCAAGGTGAAGGCAAAGATCGCCCGCTTGGCACAGAAATGGACTCCCATTTATAAGATGCAGGGCAGTGCAGCAATGAATGCGACCAACTGCTTGGGTATGAACCCTGCTCCTAGGAGTTGCTAGCTGTGTGACCTCAGGCAAACCATTCAGTCTCTCTGTGCCTTGGGTTTTCTCATCTGTAAAATAATACTTGTATCTACCTTATAGAGTAATTATTAGGATTAATATTTAGAAGTGTTTAAATTAGGGCCTGGCACATAGTAAATACTACATGCCTGCTTGCTGAAAAGAACCTGCTTTAGGTTTTCACTTCATGCAACTTCCAGTTTCTATTCAGCTTGGAAGTGGTCACTTCACACAATGTGACAAAAACTGAACAAACGGAAAACCTACACCTTTTCCTAGATCCATCACAGGAGTGAGGTCACAGGACAAACCACTGCCTTGTGATGTGGAGAGGCAGGCAGGGGGGTGCAGGGAACCCCAAGTCACCAGAGCAGAAGCTCACATACAGAGAGCTCTACAGGGACCAGGCTGGGGCAGGGACCCTAAGCTGCCATGGACTAGTTGCTGCAGGCTCAGTGCAGATAAGCCCCAGAGTTAAAAGCCAAGTTGGAGAGCCACTCGTAGGGTGGCTGCAGCGTTAAAATTACAACGGCACAAATTCTACACAAGTGGAAGGGAAGCCAAGGCAATCCCAGGCCCGCAAGCTGCCATGGCCAATTGGGGCAGTTCAGTGGGAAGCCTTGTCAAGCCAAAATAAGGACATTAACATTTGAATAGCTACCACATCAACCTTGTGTTAGGTGCTTTCATTCTGACCACTTAACACAAAGCAATTATTATTTCCAACCTAAAGAAGCCCACACTCGGGCCAGCCAAGTGGCTCGTTCATTAAGAGCTGGCTTGGGAGTGCGAGCTCTGAGCAGCAGGGCCGCCGGTTCAGATCCCACATGAGCCAGTGATGCTACAGCTAAGATGGTGAACAACAGCTCGACCTGGAGCTGGGCTGCCGTGAGTTGCCGGTGACGGCGTAGGCTGCAGTGGAGCTGCAGTGCCCTGCTGTGAGTGACCCTAAGCAGCCAGCAGCCGGTGTGAGCTACTGTCCAATGGCCAGCGACCGATCTGCCTCACCCGGGAAGAGCACAGTGATACCAACATGGGCCAGTGAAGCCACGTCCTCCACAACTAGACTGAAGGAGAAAAGGACAACTTGTCTGTTCCCCTTTCCCGATTCCCCAATGCTGTTCCCTCCCCCAATTCCCCAATAAAATCTTAAAAAAAAAAAAGCCCACACTCAGGATTATTTAACTCACCCAAAGTCCATTTGAGCTGAAGTTTATCTGAAGCCAAAGTCCATTCTTCCACAACCAAGCTGCCGCCCAGGATAGATGGTTTCAATAAAGGCCTATTTCGTTTCAGAAGGGAAAGAGAAATCACTAAATGCCCAGAAAAGGCTCCAAGGATTTAAATGATGAACTTAGCCAGGAATTCTGTTGTGAAACTGTACTGTAAATATGAACTTACGTTGTTAAAGAACTTAAATGGTCTGTGCCCTGTATTCCCCTCCCTTATTTTGAAAATCAGTCAGCGATCTGAGCATGTGGACATAATTTCTGTGCACGTTCCTCCTACTTCACAATTCCTGTCTGCAGAACAGGTTGAACTCATCCTATCTCAGTCTTGGCTTATGTTGCTTCCTCTGCTAGAAACACTTTTCCTTCCCTCCAGGTGATATCATGGCTGCTCCTTCTCATCACTAGGGATTTACTGGACTCAAAGGTCCCCTCTACAAAGTAACCTCTTTCTGCAAATACCCCTATTAAAATAGCATCCCCATTCTCAGAGAGCACTTAGTATGCGAACTTGTTCTATTTCTTTTTCTTGCTTGTCTCCTCCAAAAGGAATAAATTCCTTGAGGGACATGATTTGCCCACCCTGTTTAGCGAGCACTTGAATTATTCTTGGGACACAGGAGGCCCTCACAAATAATTGAGTACATGAATCGCAAGTGTTACGAAGTGAGACTGAAACGTGTCACTGGTAGAAAAAAAAAAAAACAACCTGTGAGAAGAGATAAAAGAACCGGAATGGAGTCTGCCACAGAAATTCCGGTGACTGTCACCTCTGAAGCAAATGGAAACGAAATAATACTATGCAAACACTTCAACACTAGCGCTTACGCCATGCCAGGCACTGTCTAAGCATTTTACATACATTAACTCGTTTTCACCCCTTGTAATAAATACGTCTGTCACTCCCATTTTGCAGATAAGTGAAGCCCATAGGCTAACCGGGCTAGGGTCACAGAATTAGACAATGGCAGAGTCAGAACTTGAACCCAAGTAGTTGGGGCTCCTGCTTTTAACACAAGTTGCTGCCGCCTCTCCAAAAAAAGCCTAGAGGTTGGCAGCACGGACACGCTATGTTTCCACTATACCCATAAGTCAATTGGCTTAAAATAACTGGAGAGACCGCAAGAAATAAACAGCACGTTGTTTTTTTTAAAGATTTTTTATTGGGGAACTGGGGGAGGGGAACAGTGTTGGGGAATCAGCGGAGGGGAACAGACAAGTTGCTGTCCTTTGGTTCTTCAGTCTAGCTGTGGAGGACGTCGCTTCACTGGCCCATGTTGGTATTATCATTGCGCTCTTCCCGGGTGAGGCAGATCCGTCGCCGGCCATTGGATGGCCATTCACGGTGGCTCTTGGCAGCTCACGCTGGCTGCCAGCTGCTCACGGTAGCTTACAGGAGCCCACTGCAGCCCCACTGCAGCCCACACAGTGCTGGCGACTCACAGCAGCCCAGCTCCAGATGGACCTGTTGTTCAGCATCTTAACTGTAGAGGGTGCAGTGTCACTGGTCCTCATGTGGGATCCGAACCCAGGCCCTGCTGCTCAGAGCTGGCGTCCGAAGCCAACTCCTAACCAACGTGCCACTCGGCCGGCCCCTAAACAGCACATTTTGTTTCGGCCAATGGTAGTCATAACACCATTGTGGTGGAGTTATTGGGATATTCTCAATTTTTGTCCCCTTCTAGGTCTGCGCGCGGTTTCACCACAGCACACCGGCTCTGCTTTCTTCCCCTCCTCTCCATCTACGCCCGGACGCGCCAGTGTTTCCCACTGAACCTGCCAGGCTCTCTGCCTCTGCAGCGTTTTAGCAGCCAGACCTCGGCTTCCTCACCTGTAACACAGCAGTGACACCTGTCCGGCCTACCCCGCTAGAAGTGAGGCAAGGGTGCAGCGTGAGCGCGCTCTACTGAGATTGATTTCTATCACGGATGCTTACTTTTGGGTCCTTTTCTTCCCTACACTTCATGATAAAAGGCACAGATCTAGCCACTCAGAGGCGCGCTCCCTCGGCCGCGTGCCTCCCCGCGTCCCACTTGGCCCGCGCGCTCCTCGCTGTGCGCCTGCGCACTGGCGACCGCAGGCCTCTGCTTTTGCGCTTGCCGCCGTCGAGCCTCGATGACGTAAAAGCGCTTGCGCCTCCCAGCGAGCCGGGCTCGCGTGGAGGGGCGCAGGTTCCCTCTTCCGGACGGTGTCCTGTGCCGCTGGGTCCCGGGACCCGACATCATGAAGGAGACACCGCTTTCAAACTGCGAGCGCCGCTTCCTGCTCCGCGCCATCGAGGAGAAGAAGGTAAACGGTGCCGGGGAAGGTCGGCTGCTCGGTCCCCCGGCCGACGGCAGCCTTCCGGCTTGGACGCGCAGACCTGGTCCTCGCAGGCCCCGGAAGCCTCTGGGGGGACAGCCGGCGGGTCCCGGGTCCACCCGGCTTTATGTGGCTGCAGTGGGTTCGTTGCCCCGGCACCTCGTTTCCACTTGCCTGTGGGGGTGGGTAGGATCCCGCTTTCCGCCAAGGGCTTAGCCCAGGGCCTGTTGCGAGAACAAGCCGGTGTGTGTTGTGTTTCCAGCGCCTGGATGGCAGACAAACCTACGATTACAGGAACATCAGAATCTCATTTGGAACAGATTATGGGTGCTGTATTGTGGAACTTGGGAAGACAAGGTAACGTTCGCTTCAAATTAAACATAAGCTCAACGAGGAAAAGTTTAAAAGAACCTTAACTGACTTAGTTGTTTTACAGGGCAGCTAAGAATCCTGCACATTATTTTGTTTAGCTGCAGAAAACAAGTGTTTTCTTTAATGCAAGGTGTTCATCGTCATGCTTTAAGTTTTTAATCATAAATATACATTCTGTACCATGAGCATCACGTAGTTCTTGATTGCACTGAATTTGTTTCCTTCACTTGTCAGTAAGTGGGTCCTACTTTCCTTTTTCCTGAGTGACATGAGAATTAGGTTTTAATATTCATTTTGCAGTTGTGAGGACATTGGTCCGATAATAATTGGCCAACCATGCCATAGGAAAACCCTTAAGAAATGTCAAGTTTCGTGCCATCTCGTATCAATAAATATTTATTTTAGAAAAGAGAAATTAAGGGCATTGACTTCTTTTTTAAAGGATCTGTGGAATCGTCAGTATTGTAATGAGATGTGTTTCCCTGTCGTCTCGTTGGGTATGCCACTGTATAGCTTATTCCTGCATATATTCTAGTACTACATAGGTAATGTCAACCCCTGATCTATCATGATGAGTATGTTATTACTCAGAATAAGATTGAAACTTAATTGGTATCTGTTTTAGTTTTTTTGTTAATTGGAAAGGAACTATATGTAGGTAACAGATTTGTGCTTTATCTTCGCAGAGTTCTTGGGCAGGTTTCCTGTGAACTCGTTTCTCCAAAGCCCAATAGGGCAACGGAAGGTATTCTTTTTTTTAACCTAGAACTCTCTCAGATGGCTGCCCCAGCTTTCGAACCCGGCAGGTATTTAAATCTTCTCCTTAAGCTGCTTTCACCAGAGGAGAATCTAATAGCAGTGAGGTATTGTTTTAATGCCTGGTTGACATTAGCCCATTCCTATTTTCATAGGCAATCAGACCTCTTGGTGAAGTTGAACCGTCTCTTGGAAAGATGTCTAAGAAATTCGAAGTGTATAGACACTGAATCGCTCTGTGTTGTTGCTGGTGAAAAGGTGGGGAACATGCTCAAAATTCTTAATCTTAGGATGAGTGTTGTTGATTACGTTAATGCTTAGAGCTTCTTTAACTCAGTTTTATACTGCTTTACTTCACTTCAAATGTTCCTGAGTGCTAGCCGTAGAACTCGGTGTCATTTCTCTCTGAAGAGACAAAAAACATTGGTGAAAATAGCAGCTTGGATTTGTCTTACTCAAAGAACTTGTGGTTGTTCATATGTTTTTATTTACTTTCTTATGTTATTTAAGTGAGTTGATAAGCAGATGTTTTCCTGTTTTATGAATGAAGAACTGAAGGACAGATTAAGTCCTTCATTTGGATAGATTTATGGACTTACACAAGGTCACACAGTGAGTCCGTGGTAGGCTGACATTGGAAATCTTACTCTCAGTAAATTATTCTGCGTGATGACAATAGAACTTAATTCTTGATGAGGGTATTTTGACCATCTTTTTTGACTCCAGAAAAGTCACTTAGCCTTTCCACAATTCCATACTTGAATATGACACTTCCTGTTTGCATTACTTGTAAGGTTCTATTTGCACTACTTGAAGGTTATCATTTGTCAAGTAAAACCTAAGAGTTTGAAGTTTTTAAGTTAGGAGACAATAAAAATATAATTAGTCTTGGAGTTAGGGACATCTTAGTATTAAATGTAGGTTGGCTCTATATATTCAGGGCATATATTTTGCTGTTGTCAAATGACTCATAGAAAGGTGAACTGTTGGTATTTCAGATATTGGTCTGGCCTAACATTTTGCTAAATATAGTTTTATTGATACAATAGAAGGAGTAACCACTTTTTAATAGTAAAAGAAAAATTTGCGCACAGTGTTACTTTTCCCTTTAAAAGTCCATTGGTTATGATCAGTTAGGATTTATTTTTGTTTTAAATTCTCATTCAGGTTTGGCAAATACGTGTGGACCTACATTTGTTAAATCATGATGGAAATATTATTGATGCTGCCAGCATTGCTGCAATTGTAGCCTTGTGTCACTTCCGAAGACCTGATGTGTCTGTCCAAGGAGATGAAGTGACACTGGTAAGCTCCCACAATGTGAGGCAGGCCCCTTTCTGTGAATGAATGAATGAATATCTTTCACATGCAGGCAGCTTGTTATTAGTAAAGGCTTGTAGATGGAAACGAGGTATGTTCTAAAATTTGTTCATAAAGCAAAAACTATCCTTAAAACCCTTACATCTCCTATATTGAAGTGTTTGTCAAAAAGCACACCCTAGCCTGGTTTTCTAGAATAGAACTAGATGATTTCTTCTTTGGACTGAACATTAGATGAAGTGGTTGCCTTATGTTTAAGGGCCACGTGTGAAAAATACACGCTTCTCAGCACGGTGAGATGCTTGTGCTTATACTCTGTGGCAGCGTCCGTCAGAAATACCTGGCGGGCTTGTTAAAACATTGCTAGGCTCCACCCTCGGTAGGAAGGGTAGTAGGACCTACCAGTTTGTACTTCTCTCAGCAGGTGATACTAATGCTGCTGGTACGAGGACCACATTTCGAAAACTATTGACCTATGCAGTTTACATTGCCCTTTATGTTGAACATGTTCATTTTAATTTACATAAATTGCATGCTAGAATAAGAAAGTGCACTGTGGTGGTAGTTTGAGTCCTGAAGTTACAAAAGGAAACATCGGAGGCCCGAGTTCTCTAAGTAGGCATTCATGATGCTGCTTTTAGGTATCAGTCTGGAGCAGATGCTTTAAAGACTTAGATAGGGACAAAGGTTTATTAATAGTAGAGACATGTTCTTTTAGAGAAGGGAGTTGGTATAAGGAAGTAAAATGTAGAGAGCGAATAGTAGACAAAAATTATCAATTAAAAAATACTATATAGTTATTGCTGGTAGTAATGTAAAATGATGGTACAACCACATTGGAAAAGTTTGGCAGTTTCTTAAAAAGCAAAGTGTGAATGTACACAGCTCAGCAATTTCATGGCTAGGGATGTACTCAAGAAGGATGAAAGTAAAGTATGTTTACTCAAAAACTTTTATGTAAAGGTTCATAGCAGCAGTATTCATATTAGCCCAAACCTGGCAGCAGTCCAGATGTTGATTAACTGAACGGAAAACACAAAATGTGGTCTCTCCCTACGATGGAATACAGTACAGCGGTCAAAAGGACCAAACTGCTGACGTATACAACAGGATGGATGAGACATGCTAAGCTGAAAGGAAGCAGGTGCAAAAGACTAAAAATTGTTTAATTCCACTTACATGGAATGCCCAGAAAAGGCAGATTTGTAGAAACAGAAGGTAGATCAGTGGTCGTTTTGGCTGGGAGTGAGAATTGACTGCAAACAGGCTCAAGGGAAGTTGGGGGTGGTCATGGAAATGTTAGAAAACTGGATTGTGCTGCTAGTTACGTAACTGAATGTACTAAAAAGTGAGTCATATAACAATGAGCGGAACTTTGGTGTATAAAATATACCTCAGTACAGCCTTTGGACAAATGCATAAAATGTTAAGGAACAGGAGTACAAAGTCAAAGAGGTCATTGTAAAAGAAATTATTTAGACCCCCACTGAGGATTAAAGGAATTTCATTCTTAATTTTCCTATTTGATATGCAAGATGACTTTTTGTATATTCATGACTTCGTGACTAATGGGTGACATCTTTCACACAGTACGCCCCAGAAGAGCGTGATCCTGTGCCGTTGAGCATTCACCACATGCCCATTTGCGTCAGCTTTGCCTTCTTCCAGCAAGGGTAAGTCTCCCCCTTGTCCTGGGTGAAATTATTTTGATAGATGCAGCCGGGCACTTGTTTGTTTCCCTGAGACGTACCGTGGACAAGTGAACAAGCCTTCTCTTATATTAATCGACCTCATAATCCTTTTCTGTTTTTGTAAGGGCTTTGTTTGGAAGAGCTTGCTAAATAGAAGTGACAAACTTCTATAATGAAGACTCCATATTTTTCTTTTACTAGCACATCAGAAATTTATGAATTTAATGCTGCATGTAGTGTTTTCTCTCTCCTAGAGATGCACAGGTGGTAAGAGAATTGTATGCGAGGCTCTCATTTGGGGTGAGAATCACTGTGAGTTAATGGGAGCATATTGGGTAGGGTAGTTCTAGGAGCAGGTCTCCAGGGGGAATGGTTCACAAACAGGAGGAAACTCATTTCTTTCAGTTTGCCAGGAGTTTCTTCACAACTCACTGCTAATTCCTCCCACAAGAGCAAACCCGGAGGCCTGCGTCCATGCAGTACCTTGAAATGAAAGCTTGAGCTTTCAGTCTCTTTAGAACAAAAAGGAGGTATAAGTAAAATATTTTAACAACTTTATGAATAAGAACTAGAGAAAAGCTTTCAAATTTCGGTCACTGTAGTGTAGAA